ATTAAGAGTATCATAAAGTTATATTCGGAAAGAATAAACCAGTTTTATTAAGTAAGGACTTGTGTCGCTAAAGTTTCGTCGGAACGAAGTTACGAAAAATTAATTAACGGACGGAGACGTAACAATATATTGTAAAAAGCCCCCCCCCCAATGGCCCAGAGGTAACTTTGAAGGCTTATAACGCTAAAAACCGGTTTTTGTTACTCGTTGTGGGCACAGCAGAGATAGCCCATTCTGTAGCTTTGTGTGTAACAACAAATAAACAAACATTTTGAGAAAAAAAGAAAGATAGGAGATATAACTAAAAGAAAATTAATTTCTAATTTCAACATATATATAAAGAAAACGTAATCATTTTTACATATTAACTGAAAAAGATGTATACTGACTGGGAAAATGTTTAGTCATTGCTTAGTGACATTCAAACTAAAATGACAAACTACATCAGAATAAGAAACATACCTGACATTCAATTAATATAACAAACTTTAACATTCTTATTATTAAGTCTGAACTGGAATTTCTGGTAAAGAAAATATTGCCAATTGGAAACTAATCTTTCCTCAGAATCTTTGTAAGAGTTAAATTTGTTCTAAGTTGATTTTTAATGTTTATATTTAGCTCTATTGTTTCTATAATTATATATGTTGTAGTTGCAATGGATTACTGATAATGGAATCCGTCTTATTCCCAAATGTTTAATAAATGTGTTCTTAAAGTTCGTATTTCGGTTTACGATAAAATCACAGACTTTTGGCAGTTTTCGTTATATCTAAACGCATAGGAGTGAACAAAATTTCTCTGTTTCACAATAACAATACAGAAATTTGGGTGTATAACGTTTAACAAGAAAAATACAATCTGTTAGTCCGTAGTTAGTGTGACAAAACATTAGAATAAGACTAGTAACAATTTTAATCAAATTATTATTTACTAGCCCTAATAAAACAATTGTATATTTCAACCACACGTTTTACTTGTTGCATGCCATTGCATCTCGTGACCAGAACTCGTCGACAGCGGCATGCAACATGTAAAGTTGAAATTTACATCTCGTGACCAGAACTCGTCGAGAGTAGCATGCGACACGTAAAGTTGAAATATTCATCTCTTGATCAGAACTCGTCGACAGCAGCATGCAACACATAAAACGTGAAGTTGATATATACATATCGTGACCAGAACTCGTCGACAGCAGCATGCAACACTTAAAACGTGAAGTTGATATATACATATCGTGACCAGAACTCGTCGACAGCAGCAAGCAACACTTAAAACGTGAAGTTGATATATACATATCGTGATCAGAACTCGTCGACAGCAGCATGCAACACTTAAAACGTGAAGTTGATATATACATATCGTGACCAGAACTCGTCGACAGCAGCATGCAACACTTAAAACGTGAAGTTGAAACATACATTCAATGACTAGAACTCATTGACAAGTTAAAATATACACTCTTCTTACTGAAAACCTTTAGAGGGCCAGTAAGTAAAAATTAGATTAAAATTATTGCTATCTTTGTTCTAATGTTTTATCACTCCAATCACTGACCAGCAATATATACTGGTCCATCACAAGAGCCCCTTAAATGTTGGATGTGTTGCCCTTTACTGTTTAGCTCACTTTCCCAGTACCAAAATGTTGGAAAATGTGTCTATTTTGCATTTCTGTCCCCGGTGGCTCAGCAGTGGGTCTGAGGGCTTATAATGCTAAAAGTGTGGTTTCGATACCTACATTGTGTAAAGTACAAATAGCCCAAATATGCTTGCATTTCTTCTTGCTCCTTATTCAGTAACTTTCGTAAAACAGGTTAACATTTAATGTTATTTGTTTGTTTGTTTTTAATTATGCACAAAGCTACACAAGGGCTATCTGTGCTCTGCCCAGCACGGGTATCGAAGCCCAGTTTCAAGCGTTGTAAGTCCACAGACATACCGCTGTGCCACTGGGGAGCAATGTTATTTGTAGTTATCTCATACCTTATTTTTCTGTACCATAATAAATATATAAGTATAGCTTCACATGCTGTATTAATGTTCATTTAATATTTCGTCTTATGCATTTCAACATACAATAGGGCTCTGTATGCGATGTAATACAGTATTTGCAATATTAATAATGAATTTTTAAACAAAGCATACATAAAATCACGTAGCAAAACATCTCAATTTTCTTTCTTTGTCTGTGTGTGTGTGTGTGTTACCAGGACTAGAAAATTAGCCTTAAAATGTTTTCATTTACATTTTAAAACTAAGCTTTGTTTGTTTGTTTTTTTCTGAAAAATTATTTCAATATTCTCTTGTAAGTTCTTTTTTCAAACAATATTTAATATTTTTTGCCTGAATGCCCATTCTTTAAATGAACACCTACTACCACCTGTACACGTTTAGAACATGCTTAGGAGTAAATAACGGTTCTCAAATCTAAATTATAAAGTTTCGAGTGATTGGCACACAAGAAACATAACATTAATAATTGAAAATGTTTAGACGTAGTCAGAGAACGTTACAAATATTTTAAACGCCACACACACATTTTTTAAAAAGGTGACTGACTCCGAGGATTAAATTCTGCTGGTACTCAGAACCAGTTTTTAAAAAGATGACACCTGAGGTGAAATTTTGCTGGCACTCAGAACCAGTTTTTTTTGGGGGGGGGGGATTCCAAGGATTCTACACTTTTTCATCTTCTGGAAATCTATATACATCATGTGTGTCTTGGCATTTCAAATTGAATAATGCATGAAATAGTACCGTTAAATTGCACAAAACTTGACAGTCCATACACTATGATGCCAGATCCTGTACTTCTTTACTCACTATGAGGCCAGATCCTGTACTTCTCTGCACACTATAACGCCAGATCCTGTACTTCTCTGCACACTATAACGCCAGATCCTGTACTTCTCTACACACTATAACGCCAGGTACTGTACTTCTCTACTCACTATAACGCCAGGTACTGTACTTCTCTACACACTATGAATCCAGGTACTGTACTTCTCTACACACTATGAAGCCAGGTACTGTACTTCTTTACCCACTATGAAGCCAGGTACTGTACTTCTTTACCCACTATGAAGCCAGGTACTGTTCTTCTTTACACACTATAACACCAGATCCT